GATCAGCACTATCACCTATACTATGGAACATCTTAATCAATACTGTTTTCGAAATAGACCTACAGGAAAATTCAACATTATTAGCATACGCAGACGATTTATTATTACTTATAAAACGAAGAGATTTCGATGAATTACAGACAATAGCAAACATAACATTATCAAGGCTGAGACGATGGACTAGACGCAACAAACTTAAATTTAATCTAGACAAGACAAAATATATAATCTTCACAAAAAAGAGAATTGTACCAGAATTGGATATTCGACTCAATACAGCAAGAATAACGCAATGTGATACATTATCATATTTGGGGCTTCTCTTTGACAGAAAACTGAATTGGAACAGACATATAGATAATCTATATGACAACACTTTAAGGATTATAAATGGACTATCAGTGGCTGCAAGAGCGACATGGGGACTCAGATCGGAAGTGTTAAAGGAAATTTATGAAGCTGCTGTACTTCCTAAGATGCTCTACGCTGTGCATGTCTGGCATCCTGCCGTTGAACGTAAGAAAAATTTGGTGAAGTTGGAAAGGCTTCAGAGGTTAATTGCGATTAAGATATGTAAGGGCTATCGTACACTATCATTCGAGGCCACAATATTATTGGCAGGGCTGTTGCCAATCCAAATGAAGATTGAAGAACGAACGACCTTATATAACATTAGAAAAGGAAAGAGAGGATACAAAGACCTGACCCTAGACAAAATAGAAAGAATCACTGACTGTAAATCTTGGTTACACCCTGCAACAAGTTTATGGACTATACCGGGAATTACTTCTGAAAATACTGATGTTTTCACTGATGGTAGTAAGGACGGCGAGAATGTTGGATGTGCATGGTTGTTCAGAGCTCAAGATGGTAGGAATATAGAACATCAATATAAATTAGAATCATATTGCTCAAATAATCAGGCAGAAAAATTCGCTGTTTTAAAGGTTACTGAATACATATATGAATACCCTCTACAAACGAATACTCACGTTACTATAAATACAGACAACAAAGTTCTGCTAGACTCTGTTAATAATTGGGACATTCATGATTACTTGACTGACCAAATTAGAAACAAATTGTTAATGATGAGAACTGTAGGGAAAGTAGTGACTCTAAAATGGGTAAAAGCACATTGTGGGATTGAGGGCAATGAACGAGCCGATTGCCTTGCAAAAGAAGCAGCTAAAAGCGATTTGCCGCCATCGTATCATCAAGCTCCTTTATCGTATATTAATATGAATTTAAAGTTGGATTTCATCAAAAGATGGGATCACATATGGGTGACCTCAGCTAAGTCACCAAGCTTACACAGATTTATACCACACATTTCAATTCACAATTACAGACACATTCACAGTAATGACTACAAACTTACGCAAGTACTTACGGAACATGGGAATACAAAACAATATCTTAAAAGATTCAACATTATACAAACAGACTTATGTGATGAAGACGGACAGGTTCAAAATTTTAAACATATAATATATGAATGTAAACGATTTGACAGACAGCGATTTGAGTTAATAAAAAGCATAATTATCAAAAGAGGAAATTGGCCTGAGACGGAACAAAAGTTATTTACTGAATTCAAGACAGACTTTCTTAGATTTATTAGATCGATCGACTTCGACTTACTAACCAGGGATGGGCAGCGTGGGTGATTTCTTTTTGGCTTTGTTGGATTGACTTTGTGTGTTTAATATTTAATTTTCCGATTTAATTTTTGTGTGTTTATTCTTTGTGTTTTTTTTTGTTAATGTATATAAATTTGAACTAAAAATGTAAATCATGTGAAACTAGAAAAAAAAAACAATTGTAAACAAATGTAATTCATGTAGTATGTCTTTAAGGCATGGAGCATGAAGGAAAATCAAATAAACGATCCTTGTGTGGGGTTACCACGTATATATATATATATATATATATATATATATATATATATATATATGGACGTTTCCGAATACTTACAAGACACACGCTCTAAACTCCGAATTAATTATAAAAGAATCATATACACGACTATAATAAGGCCTATTTGGACATATGTTGAGCTATGGAGCTGCACTAAACCATCGAATTCCTCTCGTATCCAATCCTTACAATCCAAAATCCTTCGTAAAATCCTTAATGCTCCCGACTTTGTTACAAATTAAACCACCCATAATGACCTTCATGTTTCTTATGTTTCAGATCTCGCCCAATCCAGATACTTATCCTTCCATAATAAACTTCAGAATCATCACATCCCTCTCGTTTCTAACCAACCTTACTTTCTCCTAAATTCCTGATAACACTCCGAGGCGTCTGAAAAGAAGATGGTCCCGTTATCTCCTAATGTAGATATATCATTAGAGTGCTACCAATGGGTAGTTTCTCAACAAGGGTTTTCACGTCATTATATTCTGAAATTTACTAAATGATTTTCTTCAATACAGTTGTAAATACCATTAAGAAATTATATATATATGTATATACAACGGCATAAAATATAACGGTAAGTTAAATCTTTAAAAAATAGCTTGATTAGTAATATTTCCTCAGCTCATTCAGGGTTTTCAGATTGGAAAATTGTTTTGTTTTTTTAACCTTTGGGAGCCAACAGAAACATTGAATATGATTGAACTATCCAGGTGAAGTTAAGTGTTATCTCTTGTGTTCATCTGCCGTGTTTATCACATTTCCCGTCGCTCGTGGCGATACAAAGTGGACGGCTGAAAGTGGCCCAACTAATTATACAACAAATAAACTAATTATACGACTGGAATTAACTTCGAATCCGGAGTGTGGCGCGAGTGATTAGTCTGCTCCGTGCGTGACTCGCGTGTTTCCTATTGCCATAAGAAGCGGAAATCGTTGATAATTTTTTCGCGTGAGTGTCTAAATACATGGATGACATATATGATTGCAATATATATGGCATATCATATTACTTTAAAAGAAATTTAAGATCAGTACTAATGTAAATGAAAAATGGTGTATATTCGGTTGCCTATTTTTGTTTGAGATCTTCCTTAACTTTCTGACGTCTTTAAAAAATAAATTATTTCCAAAAAATATCGTTCTATCAAGTTGTATCTATTTTTATATACCTCTTCTTCTGATTTAATTTCAAAAATACTTAAATTTTATTAATTATTATTTTGAATTGTTATATGATACTAAAAAATTAATGGCGGAGGTACCTACTAGTGTTCTTTCATATTATTTTTTTTTATTAAACTATTATTTCGTCTCTGGTATTGTTCTCAAATTTCTTTTTCTCTTGTATTTTTTTTTTTCAAACGAGTCAAATTGCATTTAATGGAAGTTGCTGCTATCACTTAAAAATAAAAAATAATAATATAAAAATTTATATTCAAACAAAAAAACCTTGTCTTATTTTGTATTTTTATCCTTCCGTGAACGGTGTCGGCCATTAAAACTTAAGAATTTGGGCTAAACAGGAGACGAAAATTAATCATAAATCATGTCAGATGTATTTATTTATTTTTTTTTTTTTAGGCAAAATATAATCTCAAATCAACGATTATTTTTATACTCAACCCTTCATAATTTAAAAGTCGTGACAGACTTTGTTCCTTGTTTTTTTTCCCAACCTAATGGTGTGGTTGTATTTCCCGATTCAATTTGTCGAATGTTCCTGGTGTTAGCTGAACTTTGAGATGCCGGCTGGCGTTATCGTCAAAACTCAGTTGTTGCTGATATCCAGGGCATTTAAAAAAAATTCTACTGAATCCACTTTTTTGATATGCGTGTCAGCTTGTTTCCTGTTTATAATGTTGGGTCAATGCCACATGATTCACAAAAAAAAAGTTATCCTGTTGATAACGTTTTTTTTTTCAGCTTTTTGTAACGTGGTAGTACCTCCTGTTTTGTCAACTTTATGAATTCTATATTCCACTGGCTTATTATATTGTAAGAATATAATAACAATTTTCTTATCTATTCACAGTTTAATTATTATTAGTTATTTTCAAATCTTATTTACTTTCACTACTTATTATTTGAATCTCGAAAGAATTGAAAGTAAAAACTAATATGACCTATTATAAATCATCTATCATGTTAATGCTATGTAATTAATCAAATATTATTCAGAAATTACAGTAAATTCCTGTCTTCGATTTAAAAAAATTTCGATACTTTTTCAAATACTCGTAATTATAGCTAGGTCCCATTTACTTAAAATGATAAACTAATATTGTATTTAATTTCACTTCGATAGATCTCTTTTTCAGGCGAAATATTGAACCAATTAAAAAAAAGAAAAGTATCATTTGAAATAGAGTTTTCCTTGATGTGTGCACGTGGACATTACACACGTTGATCATTGGACACCTGGATACTACTTATGCATAGACAATCGCTACCTCAGTATGTCTAACGTATATTTAGGTATCTTATCGATGTATCTATCTTTGCAGGCACGAAAAGTCTACTGTTTGTTTAAAGGTTTATATCCTACATTCGTATCTCACAATTAGGAGTTAATTTTTGAAAACATATAAAACAGAAAATAACGGATAGCCATCGATTGGCTGAATAGTGCCTCAAGTTATCACTCACCATTGTTAAATATTTTGAGGCCATTAACGAATCGATTTTACATTCTAACCAACTGATTTTATGATTATTAAAATACTGTTCTGAACATACCTACTATTTTACTTTAAGGGTTATCTTCAGATTTAATAATAGTCATCATATATGGTCGCTTTCAATGTTTAATAATTATGGTCCTTTTATTGTTACCAATAGTCGACTCTTATGTATTTAGCAGAAAATAGAGAATATGATTTATCAAATAATAAGTGAGATATATCGATTTTATATGTCCAGATTTACTTTGCGATATTATTTTTGCTCGATGAATTATATAAAACATATCAAGGTCTAATTGGTATATATAAAATATAATGACTGCAGATAGAGAAGGCAGAGCAATCAGTTTGCAATCAGCGGGGAGCAGTGAATCGAGTTAGTTCCGATAAATGAGCGGGGAGCCTCGGATCGAAGCGAATATTTGCCTTAATGGCGGCGAGGTATGCACTGCCCCCCGTAGCTTGTAATTGCATTCCCAATGCCTCCTGTATTGTGCCATCTGGATAACTGTCTCCACAGGTATCTCCCAACTACTCAAACATTTTCAACAGTTTTAAATATTTAAAAAACTTAAGTTCATTGTATCTCTCTATCATATAAAAAAGGTTTTAGTGGCCGTATAATTTTTTATTTTATTTTATGCATGTACAGATCGAGACGGACCGTAACGAAAACACCACACTTCTTATAGAATTATTTCTCCCTAATTATAGTTACGAATCGGCAATAGGAATAATTATAATTATAAAATCCTGTACCACTACAGTCCATGTCTTGGGTTCAGTACTATTTAGGGAAAGCACTGTTTCTAAGTCAACGGTTGTGCAAAGAGGATTTTCCCCCTTATTTAACTATTTAATTAATGGTACCCATTTTATAGAGGCTGGGTGTACCCCATGAGGTTCTTCCAACCCAGGGTCGCCCCACGGCTAATCAATAAATAAATTTTCTGCCATGAGCCGGGGTTCGAACCTGGGAGCATTGGAAGCTCAGTACCCTACCACTGAGCTATTCCACTCCCTAATTATAATTACATAATAATATAAATTGTCTATAAGACGCGATGTATAATACGAATTTTTAAATTTAAAAAAAAAATTCGAACTTTGGTTTTGTTGCGTTTATTTCATGCAGCTAAATTATAATAAAATCTGAACTAGAGTACAACAGACATGTGAATTCTTATTATGCGATTTGTGCAACGAGTGGGTACCTACCTAGCATATTAATAAAATAATACACTCATTATATATATATATATATATATATATATATATATATATATATATATATATATATATACAACTTTTCCTTAATCGACCCTTGAGTATTAAATTTAAACTTAACTATTTAATTGGGAATAAGATCACTTAATTATTATTTAATAAACTTTTGAATGTTCATTTCTTCTGTTTATTGACGTTTCGATCCCGGTATTTTCTTTTTATTAGTCAACCATGGGATCCTCTTCAAAGCTAGAATTTTAAAAAATAGAGCTTCGATCAGGCCAGGGACACACCGACAGTATCAGCACCGTCCACTTGCACATATATTAAGCTACTGATGAAGAAATGAACATTCAATAGTTTATTAAATAATAATTAAGTGACCTTATTCCCAATTAAATAGTTAAGTTTAAATTTATATACATAAACTTTTTTTTATCTTGGCTTTACGGAACTTATACATCTTTGTACGCCAGAACCGAGCCTTCCCACCCCAACTCAGCTTATCTTGGGCTAATTCTTTTTATACAATACGTTACTGGCGCATTTCTAGATTTAATTGGAACCCGTCAAAATGAAAAGAAAGACTGAAATAACTCTACTCTTTTTTTTCCAAATAGCCAATACTAGAAATTAGAAAGAAACTAAATATGTGAAACAAAATGGACATACGCCTCTCGGAATGACAATTTTTTTTTTTTTTTCAATCCAAAAGACTAGTTAAAGTTACATTAATTCCTTAGAACGTTAATAACAAGATACAACAAATACATACTCTCTGTATTTTTCATAATAAAAATTACATAGGCAAAACAACAGACCTAGAAATGATAACGAAGGGACTCGACCAAGAACGGGAAGAGGTGCTGCTGGGTACTATCATTCCTTTTGGAAGAAATATCATAACTATCTTTTTATAATAACATATGCTGGTTGTCAGCAGGTGTGAATATGGTAATGAAGATTAAAAATAAAATAATACATTTTGTAACATAATATTAAATATTATACCAATACATTGATCATCATCATAAGCTAATCATCTAAACCGCATATGCAGTGTGAGGCTCCATTTTGTAGAGTTTGAACCAGGTGGACTTTTCCCATACCAGCTCTCGTCTCCTGTTCTATTTTAAACCTCATAAGTCTCATAAGTCTTCCTTGCGACTCTGCTCCTATCCGTATGGAGAAAGTGCTCAAACCATCTTAGCTTATATTCCAATTCACTAATATTGATAGAGATATTGGTACATTACCAATACATTCTTTATGTACCAGTATCTATCAAACTTATTACTTCGGTTTGGATTAATAAACCCATGGATATCTATCTAAATTCATTTATTTTTTCTGTTGGCATTACAGACAGATCTTGTAGATCGCCTTAACCAGGCATCTTCATCTCTGCCTATCTTGGGCTATTTCTTTCCAATTATCTGCAAGCAGCTCTATTACAAATTTGTTGTTTCGATGTGTCCATCTGATTTCTGGCCTTCCAGTGTCATTGTCGAAAGAGCCATACATTTTTTTTAAATAAGTTTGATTCCAAATGTATTTAGTAAATTTATTAAGAAAAAGTTCGCTCTATAAAGTTATTCTTATATTTTATGATAAAAAACTTTCTATAAAATTAAAGTGTGAGTTTAACAGCTCAGTTTGTAGTTCAAAAATCATAATATATTTATAAAATATAAAAAATTGTAAAATATAACAATGAATTTTCAATTTTGCCATTTCTGATTTTTTTTTTTTTTTGTATAATTGTATAAAAAATGTATTTCTGAAATTCTTATTTTTTTTAATCTAAAAACCTTTTATTAATAAGTTTCGAAATAGAAGTTTGTAGGGAACTTTTATTAAAAAAATCGTCATTTGTAGATGTTAAATTTTAAAATAACATCATCAAAAAGTTACCATAATGAAAAAGTTCGATAAAAACTTCATGTAAGATAAAAAAAAAAGTTAAACATTTTAAAAATAAAAGTTTTTTCTCTCGACTCATTTTTTCGACCCCCGTTTTTGAAGCATTCATTGTTGTGTGGATGCTTCCTGACGGATTGCTCCGTGCTACATTATGTTAATTTCCTGGCTTTCATAAATATATTTCATAGAAATTTAACCTCTCCTCTTACCAAAAAAAAAAAAAAAAAAATAGCTTATGGTTTTCGAAGTTTGTATGCACAAAATATGTGGAATGAACATTAAAATGTTATGCATTGTCTTATTTATTACATTATAATTATGATTTGTTTTTAATTATGAATAACTACCTGATGTGTAATGTTTTGTGTTGCAGACCCGTACCAGATGTTCGGGCCAACGAGCAGCCGGCTCGCCAGCTCAGGTAAGACGATTAGCATATAGCATATACTGAGGGAAGGAGGGGGTTAGGCTGTTCATAAATATGCACCACTTTTGTGCAACCATGCCACACAGCTCTTTAATTGCGGCATTCGTTAACTGTCCCTTCTGTTCGCATGTCTCGTAATGTACTCTTGTTAATGTCCGCACCGGGCTTGTGTCAATGAAACAAATAATATCGGTCAGCGAACGGATCAAATATTACTTAGAAGTTCTTCAGATGCATTACCATGGTTTTCAATCCCTAAATGATTTTATATCTCAAATTAGTATGTTCGATAGTAAAATTATAATGGTATACAAAGTAATGTACCTGGAAATTATCCCTATGCAGGTGTAATGAAGTCACAAATAAAGGATATTTAAATTAAATATTATCATTAAAGTAAATAACCGTGAAACTTATTCCGGGTATTAGACATTTTTTTATATCCTTCTTATCATTTTTAAACGCTCATAGCTCCGCTTCTATACGAGTAATTGCTATAAAACAAAAATTGGTACCATTCAGCATAGGGCAGCATAGGGCCTGTATATATATTTTACAAATTATACAAATAAAGGTATATGAAAGACAGAAACTGTTAAAGAAGAGAATAATTGAAAACTTACATCCTGAAGAGATAAACATTTTTTTTTTTGAGATTAGGGCGCAGTATCCGTAAGCTCGCACGGCGGTGGTGCTCTGCGTGCATTCCATCGTATGTGTAAAATAAAATCGATCACTAAAACCTTATATATTATAAGGTTTATGTTATATATATATATATATATATATATGTATATTATATATATATATATATGTATATTATATATATATATATATATATATATATATATAATATATATATATATGTATGTATATATGTATATTTGTTTTTTCGGTTGGCTCTGCAGACCTAGTAGATCTTTGGCCGCCTGAACCAGCCTTCTTCACCTCTGGCTATCTTGGGCTACTGCTTTCCAGTTTGCTGCATGCAGCTCATCCGTATCTTTGTTGATCCTATCTATCCATCTGCTTTTTGGCTTCCCACTGTGGTCTCTTGCCTATTACACTGGCATTCATTGTTGTGTAAAGGCGTCCTGATGGATTGCTATGAGCTACATGTCCGCCCATCTTAACCTCCTTGCCTTCGTGTCATGAGATATTGACTGACCCGTTTCTTTCAGCAGTTCTTTATTGTTCCTTCTCCTCCATGTGTCAAGGTTCTGGTCCCATATAGGTCCTGTTATCCTACGTAGAACTTTTCTTTCGAATCTCACAATTTTGGCTTCTAGTGTGCCGGTTAGAGCCTAGGTTTCACAACCGTACAGCAGAACTGGCTTGATCACGGCGGTGTACACCCTTATTTTTAGATTTCAGGGGGGGGGATTTCCTGGATTTCAGTACCGTTGGAAGAGAGAAGATCTGTTCGCACTTGTTATTCGACGGTCTATCTCTGTTAGTTGATCATTTATTGATGTTATTGTGGAGCCGAGGTATTTGAATCTGTCTACTTTCGGGAATGACTTAGAGTCCACGCAGATCATGTTATTAGGATGGGTGTTTTGGCTAACTATCACATATATATATATATATATATATATATATATATATATATATATATATATATATATATATAATATACAGAATAGAAATTTAGATTTGGATTAATCACGTTATACGTATGTTAACAATAAGCCTGTTTATTTTTTGTAATGAAGTAATCCAATGTCCGTAAATTTAATAAAGGAAAAAAAACCTCGGGTTATATTTGCATATCTATATATTTTTTTGCTTTCTAGTTTGTCATGTAAAACAACTTTGTTTAATTTATCGCCAAGATCGTGATTTGCTACCGTGTTTACTATCGTAACTAAGTGTTTTGAAATATTAAAATTAAATTAAGTTATTCGTATTTCCATAACAGGAGCTTAGCGTGACGGTGAGGCAACGACCCCTAGCGGAGAGTGAATAAAACAGCCGATTTATCCCGCCTCTATTTTTCCCGCCCAAATGGAAGAGTCGTTAGATAACCGGCATTGTGATCTTATCCAGATGACGGATGGGAATACCAAAAAAAAAAAAAAAAAAATCAAAATCCCAATAAATAATGGGTTTCAATTTTGGGATAGGAATTAAAAAGCTGAGCCGGGCTAGTGTGTATTGTGAGCCCTGTCGGGGATGGAAACGTCAAAAAGCCAGTTAAAAATGAAATAGGGTCCCGGCCAGGGTGGCGGGGTAATAGAGGACCAACACACCTGCAACCATCCCTCACATTTTTTTTTTATTCTCAACACCCAGCCGACAATTCATCTGTGCCTGTTCTCTTTTATTTGGATTAATGAACAGCAGATCTACATTAGATACTACCGGAATACAGAAAATAAAGCTACGCTGGCTCGTATTTCAACTATATTCCGCTTTTGGAGGTCTCTTGTTTACTGATAAACTGAATACAGAGGAAAATAAATATTCATAAAATGTAATTGGTTCATATCATTTTAAGTGCATAATTTGCTAAAACTATTTTATTTATATGACATAACATGTACCCTAATTACATTGGCTTTAAGAGAACATATACCAATAATTGATTTTACTGATTTTAAGTTTTAACATATATTTAACATAACAGATATTTGGAACTGCTAAAAAGACTCACTTAAACAAACTTCAAATCTTTCAAACAAAAACATTCAGAACAATTACAAAAGTACGTTAGCAACATAACCTTACATACTGACCTCCATATGGCGACTGTTAACGAACACATGTGAACTCATTACAAACGATTCCATGACAACTTACAAGTACATCCTAATACATTATAAATGACATGGCCACTACGAATATGCCAGGTAACGTCTGTAGGAGACTGAAGAGGAGCTGGATGAGGGACCTCCTCGCCTAATGTAGATATCACGCCGAGTGAGGTGCCGCTGGGCACTGATCACCGTAATGCCTTTCATGACATTATTTTTTCCATCGACCTCACATTCACTGGTCGTCATTACCACTATGACAGGTGTGAATAAAAAAATTAAAGCAAAAAAAAGAAAGTTTTAAAAAATATTTAATTAGAATTGTATTTTTTTTCCAAATCCTCCAATTTAAATAATCTTATGAAATATATTACGTAGAAGCTTTAGCTTTTTTCTGAAACGATGTTTCACTGTAAATCTATTTTTAGTTTGCGTTTTCGTGGAGTCTTGAATTGCAAGTATTTTAAATAGCGTTGGGGCACGTCTTTTTTCTGAGCTTCTGAACTTAATATTCTACTATATATAATCCTAGATGTCTATGTTATTTTCTCTATGTAATCCTATCTATTCCATCATCGCACTGACGGAGGTTCCAGTGTTAGCGTTGAGAATAATGGGTTAGGGAGGTATTTAAGTGAGTCCAGGAATTTACCTCCTTGTATTGTTGGGATATTCAGTATGCTGTGGAGAACCGGAGGTTTTTCTTTTATCCACACCGTTGTTCTGACAATCTTCCTAAGAATTGTTTTTTGAAATTGCTGAATGTGTCGATCTGTGTTTTCAGTTAGTTGTGTAAAGAGCGTTGCGCTGTACAGGAGTGCTGGTCTTAGTATGACCTTGTACATCTGTAACTTGAGTCCGAGCGAGAAGGCTGAGGATGTGAGGAGATGGTGCAGACGGTAGGACCGTCTTCTTACAGATTTTTTCTTTTTTTGGATGTGCTTATTTAAAGAAAAAAAAAGTATTTTTTGATTAAAAATTAACTTGAAAAAAAAATAATAACGGGTAAGGAAATGAGTCTAAACATTCTAAGGGAAACTGCTTTTGCAAAATGTTCATATCTTCCTAAACTCATTAGTAGATTGTTATTAATTGATGTCTATGACGATAGAAACGGTCTGTAGTAGTCGTGTGCCCTTCACGTCAGAACAAGACTTCGTATGTAGGCATGCACCTATGTATGGTCCAGTTTCAATTAATGATTTTATTTATGTATTTTTTATTTATATATTTTTTATTTATAGAATTAGTATTTTCTTTTACTTATATAATTTTTTATTTTAATTATTTATATTTATTTCCTTTTGTAAGTATATATTATGAATGAATACTATATCTCTGATACTTAATGTCCTTCATTGTGATAGATTGTATTAATAAACAATTACTTCATTATAAAAAAAAATATGTATGGAACGACTATACATGTACCATATTGTGAAGTGGAAGGCACACGGCTACTACACCAAGTTAAATATTAATATATTTCAACTTTAATAACGACCTAATAATATTTCAGCTCAGATAGGTACTTATAGATATGCTAATGCATTCGACTTAGAATAGCGCAACAAAATAAGATTATTTCCAAAGTCATTTTCTGTATTCTTTGTTATATTATTTTCTTATTTTTAACGTTTTAGTTTTTCAAGTATTAGCAATTTATAATCATCACATCCATATACTCACGAACTGAAATATGATTTTATACAAAAACAAATAAAAATTAAAAGCACTCGTTAAATTCCTTCAAACGGATGGATAGAATACATTTTATACAATAGTTTGTCTTTATTGTGTAATGTATATTTTTTTTAAATAGTAGCAAAATTCCACTGGACTTTAATAAATAATAAACTTTAAAAAATAAACGAGCAGTCAATCTAAGCACATTACCTCTGCTTATGACTCTGCCAAAGTCTGGTGAAAAGTAATAGGAAAATATTCGGGTGTAGATATGAATGCTTTTAAATTGTAAAAAAAAACTAAGATGTGTGTTTTCGACTATACGATAGAAGTGAAAACACCCACAAGGCGAGTTTAATAATATGAAATGTAAATTATAAATAATAGTTCATCATAAAGGGAATGAAATGTTAAAAATTTCTGTCGCTTACAGTATGGAGATCCGATTTTTAGTGTCCAAGATATTTTAGACCGTTAGACCGATATTTTAGACTGTATCTTCAATGTTAGCGCTCTCGTTCAAACTCCACCGGCTTTTGCACCTGTGAGGCGGTTGAGAGAATAGCGCAGGGATTTGGGTTCCCCGCCTGATTGTATATATTGTATATTGTATGACTGTATTTTTATGTTTTTAATTTACTTATATTTAGGTTATTTTATTTTTTTTATTGTATATAGTTTTTATTTATTATTATTTAGTTATTTTCCTTTTGCTAATTTTTTTTTTGTATATAAGGTGTGAATGTGTTCATTTATCAGTATAATTATTGTCCCTGTGACAGAATAATATATGTCTAAATAAATAAAAAAAAAAAAAAATCTTCAATGAAACTCGTTATTGTTCGGTTTTCGACACTAGTTTTTTCCTTTTCGCCTCTCTAACACGGCTTCTCGTTTGGAAAGACACAATTTCGAATAATAGCTCATTGCAAAGAGTATGATGAAATGATGAACATTTCCCTCACTAATAGTAATAATATGTCCGATTTTTAGTTTTTGAGACATTTAATCCATTTACAAAAACACTTCAATTGATCGATTCCAGCCGACCTTACTCGAACGATATCACGATACACGACTTTATCTAAATCACTCTCCACAAAAAGTTCAAAACGTGGTTTAAGAAATGTCCGCTTCAAGAAATTGTAAAAAAAAAACTATTTGTTGGCTGTTACTAGTTAAAAGTTGTCACAACATTCTTAGGTTCTCTTAGGTTCACACCATACATGTTCTCAATTGAATGTAACATATTTTTATATACCTTAGTTATAAAGTACTGATTCTTGTTCTGTTTTTCTAATTAGTTAGAAAATATTCCTTTAACTCTACTCTGAATTTTGTGGCATAAAAAATTCTCAATTTTTTCTAAATAGCTAAGTTTGGATAAAGAAATCCAAACTATGCTTACCCAACTATGACACCCTAAAGCAGCACAATGGACATTAACAGTTATTGTTATAAGAGACTATTGATTGTAATAGCTATCAAATGGGCCAATAATAAGGCCTCGGTTGGAGGGGTGGGGGGGAGGGGATGTGACTCAGGGCTATTTGCCTCTTCCGAGCGATCTACCCCGAAGGCACTCTAATCCGTGGAGCCACTCTGTTGTCGTTAGGGTCGCTGCCTTCTTTCGCATTTTATCCTCCACTGGCTACAAAAAGTGTCGCCACTCTCTCCCAAAACTCTCTGTCATGCCTTGTTAGCTTCTCACTTCTATGTGGGAAAAATTGGATATTGGACCCAAAGTTAATAGGATAGGAATTGTTGAACAGGTGAAATATCGAGATGGAAAAACTATGATATTCAGACAGAATCAAGAATATAAGTCTTTGTAAACCAAGGTTCCACTTCCTCTATCTATTTCTGAACCCAACTTTAACGGCCATAATCTTCCCATATGCATCTCGACTCTACCAATCCGTTCGTGCCTTAGCTCCAAAACTTCAATTAAATGCCTTTTTTTAATGTTTTTCATCAATTATCGTAAAAAAAAAATTTGCTCCACAAACCAGTTTTGTTTGGTTTCTGAAATTCTACCATGATCTCATTCTTCTTCGGACCAATTATATTATCTTCTATTTATCATGTTTTTGTTTGAGACATTTAGTTATTCTGGGTTGAAATTCCAATTAAAATAGATCACCCCAAAAACGCCATGTTACGCTTTGGGAAGTCGATAAACGAGAAAATGCTGCTTCGACTTATCGGGTACTTGCAAGAACATGTGGATAAAACATCATTAGTAAACGGCAAGTGAAGTGGTGGTTTGAAAAGTTTCGAGCGGGAAACCGCAAACTTGAAGAAGAGCCCTCGGACTTATAGGTCTCGACGACGAGTTCCGGCCGGTCCACTTTAACATGTCTTTAAAATATTGTGGAACCCAAATACTGAAATATCACTGTGATAATTCTTGGTGTCACAACTAGTAATATATTCTGTTTTTCCATATTAATTTCAAGGCTCAAATCTTACCGATTTTTATTCACGTATTAGCATTTAGTTGCATAGTTTAATAACAGAACCAAATCATCACTATACCTATGTAAATACTATAACTATAATAGAAATACTGGGACGGAAATCTCGAAAACCTTAGAAGATAGCGAAGAAATTAATATAATCATTTCTATTGAAATTTTAGATGCTTTAATTTTACTATTAATATAAACGTATTTTATTTAATATTACGCTATAAGGCATAGTTTCACTGACAAAATCGAAGAAGCGAAAAAAAAAAAAACTCTTTGAGTCGTAAATTCTAATTTTCAACTTGAAATCCACAGGTATGGATTTACTGACCATTATTTCATATCGTAAGACAGTAATTAGTATACATTTAAAGGGTTAGTTACTTTCTAAAGGTAATATATAAGTTTTCTACTTGTATGTAGGGTCTCTATTTATCTTCACTTGCCCGCCATTTTGTATTAAGGCGGTTATATTATATATATGGCAGACGTCCATTTTTCTCATCAAGCCTGTGGACATGGTCAATTTATAAGGAAAACCCTTAGTATGAAATAAGACACCTTTATTGTTTTTGGCTCTCGGACTATAATATTTCACAGTGTTATCTTATACGAAAAAATATTATCGTATAATTCTTTCATTTTCTTTAAATCGTAACTTTAGTATAATAGTGAAATTATCATCATCATTCATGTGAACTAAAAGACTGTATTATTCTCCTCAGGTTCTGGTCAGATCCAGCTGTGGCAGTTCCTCTTGGAGCTGTTGTCGGACTCGAGCAACGCCAATTGTATCACCTGGGAGGGCACCAACGGGGAGTTCAAGCTCACCGATCCGGACGAAGTAGCGCGTCGATGGGGAGAACGCAAATCCAAGCCCAACATGAACTACGACAAACTGAGCAGGGCACTCAGGTATGTATCACTTTAGATCCTATAGAATTTAGAGGAAGATTTTTTTTTTTTTTCGTATGTTAGGATTGAATAGGTAAAACAGAAAAATGAGCTACTGTATTATACAAATTATTTTAATTCAATCGGCATTTAAACATTTAAATTACTGATTTAATTCAGTAGGTATTTAAATACTTTACTTACTGATTTAATTCACTGCTGTATTTCTTGTATGCGCAATGATACTACCACTAGTATTAGTGAAGAACTCGTCCCTCAGTAGGGAATAATTATCCTTAGTGTGAGACTGTCGGGATTCATTTCGGAGGACTGCCATGAAGTAAAGATTAAGTGACAGAGGCGAAAATCGAACACACACCACCACGAAGTAGCTGGTCTGGGGCCATGGTCGCTACTACACGGTCCTTACTGTTTGTGCCAAGATGTTTAGGTTGTTTGATTAAAATTGGTTATTTTGATTGCCGAAATTAATTTATTGAATAATAAATATATTGATCCAAAACGGTTTTGTCTTCACTGGATCTTTTATTGGCTCCTGTTATTGATTCTCCTACCAAGTTGACTACATTTCCTCTAGTGATTTATATGGTATCTACTTTAGCAATATTTTAGGCAGGATTATGAGAATCTAAATATACTCTTCTGTCCTAAATGAATCTTAATGAAACAATTACTGAATTGCCAATTTCTGTTTTGGTTAATTATCCGATTCATTCATTCATATTTATCCATTCTGTACAATTGCTATCAGAGACGTTCTATTATTTATAATGAACAAAATTAAATTTATTTTAGAGGAAGAAATTTTGAAAGTTTGGCATTTGAGCCTTATATATTATACACTAAAATGACAAGTTTAATTAAACAAAATCATTAGAGTCGTTTAATCGCAAAAAATTGGAAAAAAAATTGTGTGAAATCGATGATATCGATGGTACCATTTCCAGTTAATACATTTTGACGAAAAGATTGCAGTAACATACCAGTCGTAAACGTATCTGAATTATGGAATTTCAGTTCCTTACAAATTTTCGTTTTTGAGTGAGACTGTTTACATACACTTCGAACAGACCTGTTAGCGTGACTTGGTTATTTGGACTCATGAAAGGATCTTGAAACATGTATTTCCACTGAAAATACGGTTTCGAAATTTTTCAGGATTTCAATACTTTCCCTTACTCTATATTCCATTACTACATTGGTAAGCGATTTCGAGAATATACACAAGATACATAAGGAGTACAGTATATAATCGTCTAAACTAAGAGCAAAACATGAAAAATAATTTCCCGAAATTTCGATATAAATAAATTGTAATTTTAGTTGGAAAATTCAAGTTCATAAAGTCACCTATAGAATACAAAAATATTCAAACCTATCAGAATCTGTTATCAGTTGCAAACATTCAGAATGATCCGTTGTGAACCAATGGAAGTCTTTTTTAACAGGTTTGAATAATGAAGTTTAAAACAAAATATACCAAAGCTATTTATTGGTTTTGGTACTGTCGGCATCCCTTTACAGCATGATCTTATCATTACTAAACTAACATCGCGTATTAAACCCATGATCCCTTGACTCAGCAGGGATCACTAGCTTTGACAAATAGCGGTGATGTATGAGGTAGGCTAATGGCGTAATCAGTGCCTAGCTATTGAATGATTATCGCACTATATGGGCCCCAAGGGATTAGTACTGCCAAATCCCAATAGAGAGCATTATTAGCTAACCGGTGGGATCAACAGGGTGCCACCCTCATTTCAATTTAAAACAAATTGTCTCACCCTCCTCCCGCTCCCCTCGGGACCAATCGTTATTCTCTGCTTATTTCGTCGCCTTCTGAACATTGTCAGTTCGTTTCGTCTCTTCCACCTAATATCGGACTGTTTGGGTTTTTTGTCCTATATAATTATACAAGTAAGTATTAAAATATATATATATATATTTTAATACTTATATATTTAATACTAATATATATATATTTATAATTATTAATATTATCATGGTTATTATTTTGTTCGCTTATTTAATTGGAATAAGATCTACATACCGGAAAAAAAAGATCAAGAAAATGTCCACTGACGATTTTACTTATTTATAAGATCTCTTGCAATTCTGCACGAATCGAGCAGAACTAATTTTTGGGTAGATTTTAGATATGTCAAGCCAAGACCAAAATCTTCGGTACGCCCTATTGCACTTTTCAATATCACTATTATTGACCACTATTAATGTCTATTATTTCAGTAGTTATTCCTTTAATGTTATACAAAGTCGAGGTCGTGATGAAGTTTAGACATTCCAATTTTCCGAGGTTCGTATTAGGTTTCGTAATAGCTCCTAGATTCTGGAGGACCAGTGGCTATGATGTAATACACAGGGGTAGCCCAACGCCCTGTGAATCTCTGGTGAAGACGTGACTTTCCACGTTAATCGAACCCGTACCATAGGGATCTTAGTAATCGGGATTAACTTGCACTTATTTATTTTTTTATTTTTCTATTATTAATTCTTATGTTTTTAATCCCGCGATGTGGTTCACAGAAGCTTCCGAAAACGAAACGTAAGTCCTTTTCCTAGCTATAACTGATCGAGTTGGTGAGGACAAGTACATAGCCACATAGGACAAGTACACAGAGGACAAGAAACAGAGAAACAAAATTATAAGTAAAAATCAGTAAAAATAGAATTCTTCAAAGAAAAATTGCAAACCAAGCACTGGTAGGATATAAAGCAAAAATACACAAACGCTGGATTTCTATAAAATAAAAAATATGGCATTTTGACATCACCCAAAGAAAATATATTTAGTATCTAGAAAGAACATTTCCAGGAGCTTCTGAAAGAAGTGGACTCCGCGAACGAACATGACACGGACCTCGAATAGAAGAGGTTAAAACCAGATATACTCGAAGTAGAAATTGCTACCGAAAGGCATAAAACAAAAAAATCCCTAGCGATAGACAATCTACCTTCCGAACTGTTTAAATATGGGAGAGACGACTTAAGAGCCAAGCTACTACAACTAGTCCAGAAAATATTGGAGGAGGAAAGGATATCAGTGGCTTGCAATACGGGTCCAAGCTGTCCTATCCTAAAGAAATGCTGCATGTATGGGTGAATTAATTACAGAGGCATAAAACTTCTTCCAATTCCCCATAAGTTAAATACCAATATCCTACTGAATCGGATATATCGGTATTATGTAATAGACCAGATCTTCATCCTAAAACAATTACTCGAAAAACGTTGGGCAGTAGCTCAGAACGCACACTCCATGTTTGTCAATTTCAAGGCAGACTGGAAAATCATGACTGAACTGGGAGTTCCCGGTAAGTTAGTGAATGTATAACACTATGATAAAACTAGTAGTAATATGGCTGTGAGCCCAGAACACTAATAACCAGCGCCCTACAAAAACGTATTGGAAGAATTGAGAGGAAAAATCTCTGCACGATAACCCGAGCGATTTGCGATCAGAGTACTAAAACAAAGATATGAAATACCAACAAAGATCTGCCTAAAGAAATTAGTCAATCGATATCTCATGATATATAGAATAGAATAAGCACGAAGGTTAAAATTGGCTGGACATGAAGCTCGTAGAAATTCATCTGAAACCCTTTAAATAACAATGAATGCCTCAATGAAAGCAAAAGACCACGTGGAAGGCCAAAGTCACATATATAGATAGAATCAACAAATATGCAGTAGAAGTGCATGCATATAACTGCAAAGAAATAGTCCAAGATAGGCAGAGATGGAATAAGCTTGTTAATGCGGCAAAAAATCTACAAGGTCAGCAATACTTAAAACAAAAAAGTATAACCGAAATATTGAGGTGGTTATGACCCTTATGGCCCATCATTACTTATTTATTCCAATAAACTTTTACATTACTTTTTGTATAAGTCTTTCTGGAGTATTGCCATAGTATACCTCATCACAGCCCTGCCATGTCCTAATCTTCTGCGTATATTTTGATGATATATTTAAGCAACATTATTATGCTTAATCAAGTATTCTGTTCCAGCCCAACTCTCACGCCTATTGTTTACAAGCTGGATAGATTCATGCGTTTTAAATCAAAGGCGATATTTATCTGTGACCTTTTTGTTATTGATATTCGGGAAGATTTATAAAAGAAAAAATATTCCCCAACCAATTTTTTACCTAGAAAGTGCTTACGCAAACTTTGAGTTCTATTTTTGATACTCCTGACAGTGTCTATATTTACTTGGCCATTACGTCCTCAAGTTACATACATACATCTGTTATTAGACTTGTCATTTCAATATGTAGTCGAAAAAAAAAAATTAAAATTCCAATGCGTACTTCAAACATTTTGTTCATCGTAAGGATAAGGAATGAATATTTCAACAAAGAGAAAGCTGCTGAAACTCTACAGCTTTATCATACCAAAAATATGTCTTCTATATTTATTGGAAGGATATTTCCAAGATGAAAAACATGATTAGTTATCAAATTTAATCACGAAAACAAAAACGAAAAAATTCTATTAGAAAATGTTTTAAAAATCGAATGCAGCCCGAGGACATGTGACTGTACACAGATGTGTTGATATGAAAAGAGTCCTATTATTAAATGACAAGAGCCCTATTATTGGGAATTGAAGAGCATTGAATTAGAGAAGACTGTTGCCATAGGGGCGTGGTAAAGGGTAATGTACTTACAAGGGGGTATTTACATCTCCCTCTAGCCTGCCAGGTGGCGGTGTCTAGGTATAGATATTTTATTTTTTATTATAACCCAGAAATATAATCATGTCATTTAAATAATGTACTGTAACTATAAAAAAATAAAATGGGTAACACTAAAACTCATGAAAGATCTTGGGTTCAGTATTTTGTAAGGAAGTACTGTTTCAAGTGCAAAGATTGTCCATGGAGTTAATCACGCTAAATTGCCAAGTTTTCCCACTTGATTAATTATTTAATTAAGAGTGCCCATTTTATAGGGGCTCAGTGTGCCCAGGAGGGTCTCTTGATACCAGGGTCGATCCACTTCTGATGTAACAGTATAAAGAATCACCTGCCACAGTCGGATCAGAATCCAAGACCTTGAGGATAGAAAGTCAGTGCCTTACCCACTGAACTATTCCACTTCCTTTAATTCTATTGTTTTTAAATTAAATTTGAAAATTTTAAGAATATTTCTTCAACTAATCTTCTAACTAAACGACTTTGTTAAAAACAAAAAACGACATCCTGGTGTTTGAAAACCGTACTAATTGCACTTAGAAATCGATTAAAAACGTTGTTTCAGAAAACATTAAATAAAATGCAAGATATAATATTCTGATCTATTGAAAAAATTACAATTATTTTAGTTCTATGTCCTCAGTGTACAGAAATCTACGAAAGGAAAATATTTTCTTATCAATTGATTACATTGAAATATAGCAATGAAATTGAAATAACTTTTCAATAATCTTGCAGGTACAAATGCCAGGTGCTCGTCCAAAAGATCATACATAAGAAATACAATATAAGATATAATAAAAGAAAAGACCAGTTACCCATTCTAGGTAGAAGAGGTTACGAGTCATGGTTGACACATAAGAAAATTTTCTGCTAGCAATTAGACTCGAACTTGTACCCATTAAGCTATTCTATTCCTGGTATTGAATAAAAAAATGGCAGCTGCGCTATTACGGCAATATCCACTAGTGGATCCAGGAATTAATTTTTGTAGGGGGGGGGGGATGCTTCAGCCCGAAAGATTTTTTTTTCATATACATATAACGATAATTAATTTGAAAAAAAAAAAAGAAATGAACTACCTATATGAAATGGTGTCTAAGTGGTTCTTGAAGTCCTATTAAATGTAATTACAGAACCAGAAGCTTTTTTTTTTTTTTTTTTTGTCCCTCCCTTCCTCGCCGTTAAGGCTCTACTGGATTTTCCCGGGCCAGGGGGTGTGAGCGGGGAATTAAAAGACTCCCCCGGCACCGGGACGCGAACTCGTGTCTATTTTTATATCTTTGATTCATTTATCAGGTTGTTGCCGGCCAACAGCGGTGCAGTGCACACGCGTTAGCCCATTCGGCCACCCCGCCCACACTAGGAACCAGAAGCTAAAAACTACTTTAAGAGATAGTTTTTAATATTTTTTTCTGTAAAACATGGTTATATTTTACCATTTTGGGGAAGGGGGGGGGTTCATCCCGAAAGCCCTTCCCCTCCCGTAGATCCGCCTGTGGCAAAATCAAATTCATAAGAATAAGTAAGAGTTGAAGACAGATTTATAGCTAGTTTCAACAAAACTATTTTTATTTAACAATTTGGTTTTTAACGACCGCTGATTTAGCCCGAGCCAGATATCTATCCTTTCATGATAAACTCCAGTCCCATCCGAATCCACTTGTTTCCAGCCTTGCTTCTTCCTCGATTCCTGATAATCCCCCTAGACGTCTGAAAATAAGATGGCCTCGTGATCTTCTCACCTAGAACTTAATAAGGAATGCCACCGCTGAACAGTATATCTTATAAGTCTGTTCATGTCATTATTTCTGATTTACTAGTTGTATTGTTTATGCAGTTGTAAATTTCATTAAATAAATTAAAAAAAAAAAAAGGTTTTTAACGAAGCCCAATAGGGGGAAGCACGGGAAATTTTGATATAAACAGTATATTGAGTAAGCTATCTGTTGTATCGTCAAAGAATCTGCTGGTTCGTAACGCCTTATTAATGTTACTATTGCATATACATCTTGTTACTGTAATATATATATTATTTCTTATTCTCCCTCAGGTACTATTACGACAAGAACATCATGACGAAGGTGCACGGAAAGAGGTACGCCTACAAGTTCGACTTCCAAGGCCTGGCAGCGGCCACCCAACCAGCCGCCACCGACCCGGCCGCCTACAAGTATCAGAGCGACCTCTTCATGTCCTCCTACCACCATTCCGCGAAGCTCAACTTCATGAGTCCACATCCCATACCCTCCTCATCGGGTGAGTAGATGATCTTTTCTTGTCATTACTTACAAATATATCCGATAATGTCTTGTCATTATCGTTTTTATAACAGTGGAAATTATGGCTCAGGATGCACCTACGAAAACCAATTTTTTTCTCTGATACTAGAAGCAGTAGATATGCTTCTCTTAACTTTAAAAAGGTAGAGATAACATTGACAGTAGAATTAAAAATCCTTTATTAGAACGTAATATATAATAATAATAATAATACGATATCAATTTGTTGGTATCCCTGCGGATGAACTCTGTGTGACTGCTATAACTGTAATATATAGTAATAAACTACGTTACCATATTGCCACCGACAGTAAATATCTTATCGCCGAGAAATATTGTACTATCTATGTAGGAGCCTAAATCATGAAGTTGGTTGGGGTGCACTATCAAAAATGCATAATAATACTTTTATTAGTTAGAAATAGTCAGATAAAACATTCAGATCCAAAGGTCAATTGTATTTCACTATGGCAGACACCCAATTATTAGTCTAAAAGCAAGATGTTGCTCTAGATGTTATAAGCATAGATTTTTATAACATGAACTAGAAACTGACGATGGAGCACATTATTTTTAAGGTAATTACAAATTTATTGTAACAAAAAAATTCTGACATGTATTGTAACATGCGCTATAGTTTAACTCAAAAATTTTTTAGTCTTGCTTCCACAAGATCATTGGGATTGTGGTTCCGAAGATGGGAGTAAATATCCCGAAACGTAAACTCATAAACATGTAACTTTGATAATACAAGAATTATATTCAACTGTTGCTTATTAGAATTAATTATTGCCAAATAACTAAGAATATTATACAACTTCCCAGAAAAAAGACAAAAAAATAATACTTTTAATGTGTGCCCAACGTTTCAACATTAGTTGTAAACTGACGTCAGAGTGGCTCTTTCATAGGCCAGGAAAACATTATTATATATCTACCATTTTTTTTTTCCCGCAGCTCTTAATTTACACTTATCACTTCATATTATTTCAAATCTCATCATATCGGCAATTAACGAATCTTATCGATGGGGATGTCAAGCTGCACCACTTATTTGTTCAATAACAAATAAAAATAAAATATATTTGTAATATTATCTGGAATCCTAATTACTGAAATTCAGTAAAAAATCTACAATCCAAAAAAATACCTTACCCCTAAGAGACTGAGGTGCACGGAAGAAGATTGCGAAATCAATTTTTTTAAGGGGGAACATTTTATCATTATTTATTTTTGTGAGGCCATATTTTGATAGGGTATGTATATATACTTTTGGTATGTATACTTTTGGATTTTCTATTTCGGGTATTTAATGTATATTTTTGGTATATATTTTTCTTATATATTTGGTATATAAATGTATATTTTTCTATTTACTGAAATAAATCAAACAATTAAATAAAAAGTAATGAAAACGATATTTCTTAGGTATTGTGATTAAAAATACTCTCATTTTGATGGGTTCACCAGTGAGGCGTTCCTTGAAGGCATTTTCAATTGTGTTTTGGTTTGTTTATTTATTTTTTTTTTTACAGAAAAATATTGATTTTTAATAGTTACGTTTAAATGTCTAAATTATTATTTCAAAAAAATAACTACCAAACCGAAAAATCGTTTGTTTTTTCAACATTTCTAGTTGTCACTGTAAGGAGTTATTTTCTTTATCTTGGCATGCCACTTATCTGCCGAACCATGACTTATTTATCAGATATAACAAAAATCCAGTTGCTCTAGGCCATTCTAAGCGGCGTTATTTCGACGAAAACAGCAGAAGGTTCGCCAGCCTTCGTTTCTCCGAGATTATCTGACCCCTATGCCCTGAGGGATAATTAGGAAATGAACTTTTGGGCCTGGAAAGGGAAGGAAAAATGGTGGCAAAAACGAAGAAAGGACAAAATTAGCAGTGGCTAACAGAGCGGACCAACTCGGGCAAATTGGATTTGGTAAGAGGACAAAGAGGATAGAAACAAGAGTTCAAATTGAAAAGCTAACGGGGCGGGGGAGAGGAGATAGCGGGATCAAAGGCGTTAGCAATTTCCTCCGGCCTCCAGGTCCTCGCTATGGAGAGTCTTCCAGCGATGAGTTATCCCCGGAATATAATGCCCTTATCGGAAGATAACTTACCCCTGAGTGATGTCATCAGGCGATACTGTCCTTCTGTTAAAAGGATATCTCTTTTATTATTATTTTTTTTCTCGAACGTTGTTTAAGTAGCGATTCGTTGTGACGAACGAAATCGGGGTTGTAAGGGATTACGATACACAGCTCCAAGTTTGTTTTTGTTATCGTGGAGATTTATTTTTGTTATTATTTACTAACATAAGAACGTTTGAAACCGCCAAAGCCATCAAGACTTAAATGACAAAAATGTTTACACTTACACGGATGAAATTTATTTATTTAAAATATTTTCTTTGGGAATCGATGATATCCTACTGATATGATTTCATTGGATAATTAGCATACTTTTATATATAAAAGAATTATGTTTTATTAATGATTCTATTTGATGGATAGAGTATTTCATTTACATACCCACTAATTCCCAATTAATTTTCTCAAAAATAGCTGGCTAAGGGAGTTCCTTAAACTTTCAATTCATACTGCTCGATACAATGTAGAAGTATAATTTATTATTCATTCTTCTAATATTTATCAGAAGAATACATGAGTTTTTTATTCGGATTTTCAAAAAATAATGAACATCAATTTTAAAATACTATTTTGAAAAACACGTAAATCAGACCTTATACAATTGAAAATGGTAATATAAAGTTACATAAAAATCGAACTTTTGAATGAAAGAAGTTAGTAAATCCAATCTTTTAAGTGATGCCTTGCATGGGAAGATCGAGATAACATCATAATCACTATCATTCAATTACCTCTAAAGCCTTCACAAAATATCTTAACCTTCCAATCTAATAATCTTAATTTGGAAATAGCATCTAAATCGTGACTGGCGCAGTTTGAATGCTAAAATGATCAGTTAATCAGTTGATTTGAGGATTTAAGATATCGACATTTTTTTTGTTTTATGGTCCAATGTATTTTTTTATAACGCAGATATCTGCAAAAGAAGAATCTTCAATGAAGAACTAATTTCTATAGAGAAAACAAAATAAAAGAATCCAGAATAAAAGTCTAAGAAAAATTTAAAAAAGAATTATCTTGGAATATTTAATTAATTATCAATTCTGTTAAGATTCCGATGTTGAATTCTTCACAGTTGAATATAAACTGTTGTTATTATAATTACTTTTTTATTAAAGACTAAAATCGTAAGAGAATAGAAGAAAGCCATTTTTTAAATAAATGAGTTTTATCAAAGAACAAAAAAAAAAGAAAGATGAGAATTCAAAAGGAGACTGACTTCAGTATTATCAGAGGTTTTCTACGGAGGCAAGTTGTCATTTTTCTCTGACTTCTTCCCGCACCCGATTGTGCTCTAAAAGATTCTCTTTTTAGTTTCTTAACAGATCTTTTAAACTGGTATTTCTAAATGTTATTCAATGCACAATCTGATGTGGGATGAGAGAGAATGCTTAATATTTCACACTTGGATTTCTTCAAATCGTATTATCTGCAATATCATTAATATTTTCACTGCCATCATTAACCAAGTATTAAATAAGTTAATATTTCTTATTATATAAATAAGTAGCTAAGTTTAATATTTCACGTTCTTTCGGCAGTAGACAGAAGAACAAGCTAGTAATTTTATATTATGGTCCCAAAACCCATTTGATCTAGGTTTTTCTATTTATAAACAATTTAAAGTTAAATGAAACATTAAGTTAACTAAATTGATTTGTTTTCTCATTTTATGTTAATCTATTATTATCCATTGGTTTCGATTGTAATCGATCATTTCTACTGTAGAACTTAGCACCGCAAAAAAAAAAAATAAATAAAAGGAAAAAAAAGAAAGAGAGGTACATAGAATAGAATAGATAATAAACTTTATTCTGGAACGAGTTCCCTTATGAATAACAATTATGAAAAAAAAATAAAAACCACATCTGGTAAAAAATTACATTAATCAAAATTAAAGAATTTATACAGTATCTTCAGTGAAAGTACATCATAACAAATAAAAAAGTAACACCATTTTGAAAAAACAAAAGCAAATATTTTTAAATGAAAAGAAAAGCAGAAATCTGGTAAAATAAAAAACAAAATATTATAAGTATCATGGATTGATTTTTAAAATTAAAACTCAAAACAATTTCAACAACCATTCACCTCAGTCAAAATTTGATTCATAACATTTATTTCATTGTACAACGTCATTTTGGGTTGGAAGAAGGAATTGGTAGAGATGATATTTGAATGAGGACAAGGAAGAGGCATGGCGGATATCAGAAGGCAAGGAATTCCAGAAGGCAGTGGATCGGGCAATAAAGGAGTACTCAAATGTCTTAGTTCTATGGGAAGGGATAGAAAGGTCGGAAACACGGGATCTTGTTTTCTGGGAGTGGACCATGGGATTGAACTGTAGGAGACTGTAGACGTAGGAAGGATGTCGGGTGTTGATCGTTTACAATAGGAAATATCCAAGGAAATATTTTCTGTGGAAAGAAGGGAAGAGCCACTTTAACTTGTTGTAAAGGTGGGACACATGAGATCGCCTCGAAGTACCGAAGACAAATCTTAATCAGGAGTTCATGAGTCGCTTCAATCCATCTTCGAGTACCATCGGGATGAGTGAGGGAAAATAAGAGAGGATATAAGGAGCTTGCGGATAGATTGTGGGAGTAGGTGGCGGTAGCGATGAAATAACTTAAGGGTACCTATTGACTTTAGAGAGATGAGGGCGACATGGGGTTTCCAGGAGAGGTTTTCGTCAATGGTAATTTCTAGATATTTAACAAAGGAGTTGAATGTGATAGGATGATCGTTGATGACTAAAGGAGTAAGGAAGGAGATGGATTTAAGAATAGGAACTATTATGGATATTATAAGGAACCTATAATAATGGCTTG